ACAACGTAACTCTTACACAGAACACTGTAGCAGCACACTGCTGGTGTTCCCACAACGTAACTCTTACACAGAACACTGTAGCAGCACACTGCTTGTGTTCCCACCACGTAATTCTTACACAGAACACTGTAGCAGCACACTGCTGGTGTTCCCACAACGTAACTCTTACACAGAACACTGTAGCAGCACACTGCTTGTGTTCCCACCACGTAACTCTTACACAGAACACTGTAGCAGCACACTGCTTGTGTTCCCACAACGTAACTCTTACACAGAACACTGTAGCAGCACACTGCTGGTGTTCCCACCACGTAACTCCTACACAGAACACTGTAGCAGCACACTGCTTGTGTTCCCACAACGTAACTCTTACACATAACACTGTAGCAGCACACTGCTTGTGTTCCCACCACGTAACTCTTACACAGAACACTGTAGCAGCACACTGCTGGTGTTCGTATGCTTTTCAAAACTCTTGTCCCGCCTCCACAACCACCTGCTTGCTTCTCTCTCTCTCTCTCTCTCTCTCTCTCTCTCTCTCTCAGGGTAAGTTATGGGAGCGTCCTCCAGAGAGAGCACACCTGTAGATACGGGCTCGTCTCCACCTCACAGCTGGGGGAGCTTGAATCAACACTTGCTTGAAGTTGAGTGATGCAAGCATCACAGCTTGAAACAGGGAAAAACAAACATCACTACGAGAGACAGAGAGACACCAGCATCACTACTAGAGACAGAGAGACGCCAGCATCACTACGAGACTGAGAGACGCCAGCATCACTATGAGAGACAGGCAGAAGCCAGCAAATTTATTTTCTTTCGGTCTCCACTAGTCGAGGTCACTAAGACACATTATTCTGTTTCCATTTCTTGCGAAGCTCCAACACTAATGTATTTAATGTGACCATGGCTCTGTGCAACACAGCGCTGCTGCACAGACACGACTGTGGGAAGACATTATTCTCTGGAACCTTCGTAACACTATACCACTGTAACACAATAACAGCAGTGCCAGCCGAAACACAACGACACTATCAACGCCGACCGCAAAACCTCTGCTCAAATGTCCGATTTTGTCTGCAGTCTGAAGAGTGGGAATCGTGCTATTCCCGGCGAATCGCTAAATCCGTAAGGACCACACAGCGATTGGGGTCTGCGAGGCTGTAAATACAGCTCTTGGCCCAGAATGACGAGCGGAGGATCAAGCCTAAACCTGTCCGATAATACGAGTGAATGTCAATAATAAAAAAAATATATAACCACAGAGGAAAGCAACACACATCTTCAGAGTTACGTAATTCCCCTGAAGAAGTGTCTTCTACCACACGAAATCACTCGAATATTTCTGATCAGATATTTTCATTCTGATGAGTATATATTTCATGATGTATATGTTGATGTATATGTTGATGTATATGTTTGTTGATGTATATGTTGATGTATATGTTGATGTATATGTTGATGTATATGTTGATGTATATGTTGATGTATATGTTTGTTGATGTATATGTTTCTTGATGTATATGCACTGAGAGAATCGACGTATGTTGACTTGTACAGTGGTGTATATCTCAGTGGTGTATATCAGTGGTGTATATCTCAGTGGTGTATATCAGTGGTGTATATCTCAGTGGTATATATCTCGGTGGTGTATATCTCAGTGGTGTATATCTCAGTGGTGTATATCTCAGTGGTGTATATCTCAGTGGTGTATATCTCTGGGGTGGTGTATATCTCTGGGGTGTACATCTCTGGAGTGGTGTATATCTCAGGGGTGGTGTATATCTCAGGGGTGGTGTATATCTCTGGGGTGTATATCTCTAGGGTGGTGTATGTCTGAGGGGTGTATATCTCAGGGATGGTGTACATATCAGGGGTGTATATCTCTGGTGTGGTGTATATCTCAGGGGTGTATATCTCTGGGGTGGTGTAATTCCCCTAATGCTTGATGGGAGGCTGTTGAACAGGCTTGGGCCCCGGACACTTATGGTGTTTTCTCTTAGTGTACCAATGGCGCCACTACTTTTAATTGGGGTATTTTGCATCGCCTGCCCAGTCTTTTACTTTCGTAGGGAGTGATTTCTGTGTGCTGATTCGGGGCCATTCCTCCTAGGATTTTCCAAGTGTAGATAATGATATATATCTCTCTCCTGCGTTCCAACGAGTACAAGTCAAGTGCTTCCAAGCGTTCCCAGTAGTTAAGGTGCTTGACAGAACTTATACGTTCAGTAAAGGTTCTTTGGACACTCTCTAGATCTGCAATTTCACCTGCTTTGAACGAAGATGCATTCTGATTTCATTCCAGTGCATCCAAGGCCATATTGTGATCCAGTAGTTGTGAGAGGCAGGAGCGACCTGCCCTGAATCCATGTTGCCCTGGATTGTGTAGTTTTTGGGAATCCAGGTGATTTGCAATCCTGTTTCCTATCACTCTTTCAGAGATTTTTATGATGTGGGACGTTAGAGCTATTGTTCTACAGTTCTTAGCTAATGCTTTGCTGCCACCTTTATGGAGTGGGGCTATATCCGTTGTTTTAAGTGACTGTGGAATTTCACCCATGTCCAAGCTCATCCTTCATAGTGTACTTAGGGCCCGTGAGAGAGGTTTCTTGCAGTTCTTAACGAACACAGAGTTCCACGAGTCTGGGCCCGGGGCTGAGTGCATGGGCATGTTGTCAATGGCTTTTTCAAAGTCTATTGGAGTTATATCGGGTGGTGTATATCTCAGGGGTGGTGTATATCTCTGGGGTGGTGTATATCTCAGGGGTGGTGTATGTCTCTAGGGTAGTGTATATCTCAGGGGTGGTGTATATCTCAGGGGTGGTGTATATCCCAGGGGTGGTGTATATCTCTGGGGTGGCGTACATCTCAGATTGTATACACTGAGAGTATACTTTGATCCCTGTATTAAAAATCAAAGTTTTCACGACTAGTAGCGAACACATTGCACGCAGCCTTGATGACCATCGTGTAGTCGATAGATTTCAAACCTGATAAACCAACTAGCCAACCAATGTTCATTTACAGCGACAATAACTATCATACAGCAGCAAAACAAAATTAATTCGGGAAAAGAACAGCAAAACAAAATTAATTCGGGAAAAGAACAGCAAAACAAAAGTAATTCGGGAAAAGAACAGCAAAACAAAAGTAATTCGGGAAAAGAACAGCAAAACAAAAGTAATTCGGGAAAAGAACAGCAAAACAAAAGTAATTCGGGAAAAGAACAGCAAAACAAAAGTAATTCGGGAAAAGAACAGCAATTCAGCAAAATTATATTAAATTTGTTTCATTTTCATTGTTCCTCAAGAAGTTGTCCCACGACACAACACTGTGGCAGACACAGTGGTACACTGTCTGGCAGACACAGTGGTACACTGTCTGGCAGACACAGTGGTACACTGCCTGGCAGACACAGTGGTACACTGTCTGGCAGACACAGTGGTACACTGTCTGGCAGACACAGTGGTACACTGCCTGGCAGACACAGTGGTACACTGTCTGGCAGACACAGTGGTACACTGTCTGGCAGACACAGTGGTACACTGCCTGGCAGACACAGTGGTACACTGTCTGGCAGACACAGTGGTACACTGTCTGGCAGACACAGTGGTACACTGTCTGGCAGACACAGTGGTACACTGTCTGGCAGACACAGTGGTACACTGTCTGGCAGACACAGTGGTACACTGTCTGGCAGACACAGTGGTACACTGTCTGGCAGACACAGTGATACACTGTCTGGCAGACACAGTGGTACACTGTCTGGCAGACACAGTGGTACACTGCCTGGCAGACACAGTGGTACACTGTCTGGCAGACACAGTGGTACACTGTCTGGCAGACACAGTGGTACACTGTCTGGCAGACACAGTGGTACACTGTCTGGCAGACACAGTGGTACACTGTCTGGCAGACACAGTGGTACACTGTCTGGCAGACACAGTGGTACACTGTCTGGCAGACACAGTGATACACTGTCTGGCAGACACAGTGGTACACTGTCTGGCAGACACAGTGGTACACTGTCTGGCAGACACAGTGATACACTGTCTGGCAGACACAGTGGTACACTGCCTGGCAGACACAGTGATACACTGTCTGGCAGACACAGTGGTACACTGTCTGGCAGACACAGTGGTACACTGTCTGGCAGACACAGTGGTACATTATCTGGCAGACACAGTGATACACTGTCTGGCAGACACAGTGGTACACTGCCTGGCAGACACAGTGGTAGACTGTCTGGCAGACACAGAGAAGGTACAGACTTTATGTCAGGCGACTGTGGGATCATGAAAGCTTAAATTTAGTCTGTCTCATTTCTGAAGATTCTCCAGTACCCGACACGAGGAGCTGCCTGCATATCGTTAATACTTAACGGGATACTCTATCACTTTGACAGCAAGCAACAAAAAACATTCAGCATGCAGATACAAAGAGCTTCACACTACTCTTACTACAAGCTCTACACTGCTCTGGTTTGCCTTCTCTATGTACAAGTTCAACCTAACTGACATGTCTCGCCAGTCCGCATCTTTTCATGTAAGTCTTGTGTCTACGAACTGTCTAGTTAATTTCTGGACACTGACACCAGCAAGAGCCTTCTGCTTGCCTCTCATTCACGTAGAATTGTAGATAATGCAAGACTGTCCTTAATCTAGATAGTTGTCCTCAACAGACAGCCTCGGTGCAAACTTCCAAGTCCTCTGTTATTTGTTTTTTTCCCATGTGTATGGACGGACAGCCCGCGAAAGCTAAGACGTTTAACGATGGTCTCTGAGACAAAAATAACGTCGCAAAAGTGTTTCAGGCAGTCGAATGGTATACAGTACTGACAAGTTGATGAACAAGACACGTGTAATATTTTATCGTCAAAACGTTTTAGCCTACGCAGCAGGCTTTTTCAATCGTAGAAGTGTCGTACATGTGTCTTGCTCATCAGGTAGTCGAAGTATGGCGAGAATCAAAGAGAGGAACTCCAAGAGAATAACGGTACTTACGATGGTGATGCCTCCTATGAGGACGCAGCCCTGGCGGAGGGAGAGGCAGCAGCAGCTGTTAACCTCACACATGTTGGTCCCCCCCGCGCTAACTCATCCTCCAGGTCAAAGGTCACGTGGAGGTCATGCCTCTCTGAGGGATCACAGGGTGAGCGGGATCGTCAGAGGTGATGGTGCGTGAGGTCATACTACGCAGAGGGTGGTACTTTAGAAGGTCATGCCCCGCTTACTACCAGTGGGCGAGACATACCACAAGAGATCGATGTATGGTCAATACTGAGTGGCCCACACACGGGTGTATTGTTTCATGGAATACAGTGAAATCTGATCATAATTCCACTAGGTCATATCCGAGCCGGTTTCTATGTCGCGGCTAGGATAAAATACTGCGTTACTTGGCTAAGTTCTTCAATAAACAGCAGTCTCCGCACAGACAGAACCTAGGAGGCCAAACACAAGTCACTCCTACGGGCCAAGGCTATAAGTGAAGCCAGGCCATGACTTACAGGGCTGGGCTCTAGCTCACCCTCACTCCTCGGGTCGTGGCGATGATGATGAGCGTGTCTGGCAGGTTTCCTCTGCTCGATCTGAAGAAGAAAGAACATTTTACTAAATATACCGTACTCACATCTGCGCATCGACGCGGAGAATTCATGTCACAGTACAGCGGCTGGAACAATTTACAACTTAGAGACACTCTGGAGACAAAACTCCAAACGAAATTTCGGTCTGTCCTGCACCGTTATTAAGTCACGAGTGAACTTTCTAATGGACTTGATGACGGACCCAAATTCAGGGTTATTTCTGAACACGTCCGCATATTTGAACACTTGTGAAGTCAGTTCAAAACCATCTGTTTTATATTCGAATTAGTTCGTCTCTAAACTCTAGCAGGGACGTCACCCTCTGGAAGAGGAAGAAAAATCTCAAAAAAAATGAAGCAGAGAGACACGAACAAACGTTAGCTAGCACCCAGGTTGGCACTGGAAGTTGTGTATAACGTAAAATGCGGTAATAGTAGAGTCTGTCATAATCCAGTGGATTCAGTAAGAGTTCGGTGCTTAAACCTTTTTTATGGAGTGTGTAAATAAGACACACAATGAGGGTTATGGCATTTTATTGTGGCTATGTTTCGTCCTCCAGGGACGTTGTCAGTAACTGGTGGACGAAACGTCTTCATAATAAAATGCCACACTACGCATTGGGTGTCTGGTTTACACACTGCTGGTATACCCTGTATACTCTGCTACTGTATTATCATTTCTTTACGGCTTGCCCCATGGCCATCCTCAGCATGCTTGCCCCATGGCCATCCTCAGCATGCTTGCCCCATGGCCATCCTCAGCATGCTTGCCCCATGGCCATCCTCAGCATGTTTGCCCCATGGCCATCCTCAGCATGCTTGCCTCATGGCCATCCTCAGCATGCTTTCCCCGTGGCCATCCTCAGCATGCTTGCCCCATGGCCATCCTCAGCATGCTTGCCCCATGGCCATCCTCAGCATGCTTTCCCCGTGGCCATCCTCAGCATGCTTGCCCCATGGCCATCCTCAGTATGTTTGCCCCATGGCCATCCTCAGCATGCTTGCCCCATGGCCATCCTCAGCATGCTTGCCCCATGGCCATCCTCAGCATGCTTGCCCCATGGCCATCCTCAGCATGCTTGCCCCATGGCCATGTTTGTCGAAGGCAACTAAAATGCCTGGTACAAGTGGCTGACATACCCCTTTTCTGAATGAAATTACAAAAAAAGAACAACATATATTTCGGAGGATACTGAAAGAGAGAGAGAGAGAGAGAGAGAGAGAGAGAGAGAGAGAGAGAGAGACCCAGGAGTTATTATTAACGAAAAATTATCACCAAAAGATCGTATAAGAGAAATTGAGAGAGCCTCATCCTACTCTGGCGAATTATAACAGCTCTGGCTGCATAAATGCTTAAGAAGGTTTTACGACATATAAAACTGGAATATGCAACTTTGACCAAACACCTCAAAAAAATCAGGAGGTGGCAAGGCCAGGTACAAAGAGAGCCACGATCGTCAAAAAATATGTAAGAGATATAATGCCCAGGTTAAGTGACAGCAGGAAAAGAAGAGATACGTTAGGCGCATGTAAGATCTTACCTAAAGACATGAGAGTTTTAGGGCTTCGAGTCCCACCCGTTCCGTGAGTTGTTTGCAATCGTGTTATAACGAATTAGCGAGACACGAGAGAATAAACAAAGATTTTTAAACACTCACAGCAGCGATGAGGAAGACTTTGTCAGCTGAGGAAGATGCTGAACAGAAGAGATACAGGAAATAATTCTCCACCAACAGAAAGGTTGTTTAGTGGAAATATTTATAAGAGAGAGTAGACAATGCTACAGCCATTAAAAAAATTGAATAATTGAGAGATATATTAAATATTGAGGACAGGATGAAAGGTAATTATACACACACACACACACGCACACACACACACACACACACACACACACACACACCACACAGCATGCACACACGCACGCACGCACGCACGCACGCACGCGCACACACACACACACACACACACACACACACACACACACACACACACACACACACACACACACACACACAACAGCAATTGGCTCCTGGAGTTCAATCCCACCAAGTGCAAAGTCATGAAGATTGGGGAAGGGTAAAGAAGGCCGCAGACGGAGTACAGTCTAGGGGGTCAGAGACTACAAACCTCACTCAAGGAAAAAGATCTTGGGGTGAGTATAACACCAGGCACATCTCCTGAAGCGCACATCAACCAAATAACTGCTGCAGCATATGGGCGCCTAGCAAACCTCAGAACAGCATTCCGACATCTTAATAAGGAATCATTCAGGACCCTGTGCATCGTGTACATTAGGCCCATATTGGAGTATGCAGCACCAGTTTGGAACCCACACCTAGCCAAGCACGTGAAGAAACTAGAGAAAGTGCAAAGGTTTGCAACAAGACTAGTCCCAGAGCTAAGAGGTATGTCCTACGAGAGAGGTTAAGGGAAATCAACCTGACGGACACTGGAGGACAGGAGAGATAGGGGGGACATGATAACGACATACAAAATACTGAGAGGAATTGACAAGGTGGACAAAGACAGGATGTTCCAGAGATTGGACACAGTAACAAGGGGACACAGTTGGAAGCTGAAGACACAGATGAATCACAGGGATGTTAGGAAGTATTTCTTCAGCCACAGAGTAGTCAGTAAGTGGAATAGTTTGGGAAGCGATGTAGTGGAGGCAGGATCCATACATAGCTTTAAGCAGAGGTATGATAAAACTCACGGTTCAGGGAGAGTGACCTAGTAGCGATCAGTGAAGAGGCGGGGCCAGGAGCTCGGACTCGACCCCCGCAACCTCAACTATGTGAGTACAACTAGGTGAGTACACACACACACACACAACACACACACACACACCACACACACACACACACACACACACACATACACACACACACACACACACACACACACACACACACAGCTCTTCTCCCTCAATAATAGAAGTTATTATTTTTTTTTTGCAAATTCTGTAAAAACGCTGATTAAAAAAACACGTTTCATTAAACGAACCGGACGAAACGTTCTCTCTGTTTAACACTGTGAATCACGGGGAAACAATGTGCATATCAGAGAAGCTTCAGCGCTGGGTAGGGAAGGATGTAACGACGTTCCGTCCAGACAGTGGACTTTGTCAGGTCACTTGGCGAAACCCACTGTCTGGGTGACACGCTGCCATATCTATTGCTCACCCACCCACTTCCTGGCCAAACCGAACTGTGCTTAACCTGACTCTTTGTCATAGAGAGAGAGAGGGAGAGAGAATTATATAACACCAGCTGGGTAACTGCTGCTGATAGCGTCCTCCCTGCTGGTGTTACACTATCACCTTCCTACCACTGGTGTTACACTATCACCTTCTTACCACTGGTGTTACACTATCACCTTCCTACCACTGGTGCTACACTATCACCTTCCTACCACTGGTGTTACACTATCACCTTCCTACCACTGGTGCTACACTATCACCTTCCTACCACTGGTGCTACACTATCACCTTCCTACCACTGGTGCTACACTATCACCTTCCTACCACTGGTGTTACACTATCACCTTCTTACCACTGGTGCTATACTATCACCTTCCTACCACTGGTGTTACACTATCACCTTCCTACCACTGGTTGCTATACTATACCTTCCTACCACGGGTTTGTTACACTACACCTTCCTACCATGGTGTTACACTATCACCTTCTTACCACTGGTGCTATACTATCACCTTCCTACCACTGGTGTTACACTATCACCTTCTTACCACTGGTGCTATACTATCACCTTCCTCCCATGGTGTTAAAACTAATCACCTTCCTACCACTGTGTTACACTATCACCTTCTTCCCACTGGTGCTATACTATCCCCTTTCCCTACCACTGGTTTTAACACTATCACCTTCTTACCACGGGTTTGCTACACTATCCCCTTTCCCTACACTGGTGTTACACTATCACCTTCCTACCACTGGTGCTACACTATCACCTTCCTACCACTGGTGTTACACTATCACCTTCCTACCACTGGTGCTACACTATCACCTTCCTACCACTGGTGCTACACTATCACCTTCCTACCACTGGTGCTAAACTATCCCCTTTCCTACCACTGGTGCTACACTATCACCTTCCTACCACTGGTGCTACACTATCACCTTCTACCACTGGTGTTACACTATCACCTCCTACCACTGGTGATACACTATCACCTTCCTACCACTGGTGCTACACTATCACCTTCCTACCACTGGTGCTACACTATCACCTTCCTACCACTGGTGTTACACTATCACCTTCCTACCACTGGTGCTACACTATCACCTTCCTACCACTGGTGTTACACTATCACCTTCCTACCACTGGTGTTACACTATCACCTTCTTACCACTGGTGCTACACTATCACCTTCCTACCACTGGTGTTACACTATCACCTTCCTACCACTGGTGTTACACTATCCCCTTTCCTACCACTGGTGCTACACTATCCCCTTTCCCTACCACTGTGCTACACTATTACCTTCCTACCACTGGTGCTACACTATCCCCTTCCTACCACTGGTGCAAACACTATCACCTTCCTACCACTGGTGCTACCCCTATCACCTTCCTACCACTGGTGTTACACTATCACCTTCTTACCACTGGTGCTACACTATCACCTTCCTACCACTGGTGTTACACTATCACCTTCCTACCACTGGTGCTACACTATCACCTTCCTACCACTGGTGCTACACTATCACCTTCCTACCACTGGTGTTACACTATCACCTTCTTACCACTGGTGCTACACTATCACCTACCCACTACTGGTGCTACACTATCACCTACGCACCACTGGTGCTACACTATCACCTACCCACCACTGGTGCTACACTAACACCTTCCTACCACTGGTGCTACACTATCACCTACCCACCAATGATGCTACACTATCACCTACTCACAACTGGTGCTACACTATCACCTACGCACCACTGGTGCTACACTATCACCTTCCTACCACTGGTGCTACACTATCACCTACCCACCACTGGTGCTACACTATCACCTTCCTACAACTGGTGCCACACTATCACCTACCCACTACTGGTGCTACACTATCACCTACTCACCATTGGTGCTACACTACTACCTAGCCACCACTAGTGCTACACTATCACCTACCCACCACTGATGCTACACTATCACTTTCCTACCACTGGTGCTACACTATTACCTACCCACCACTGATGCTACACTATCACCTTCCTACCACTGGCGCTACACTATTACCTACCCACCAGTGGTGCTACACTATCACCTACCCACCACTGGTGCTACACTATCACCTTCCTACCACTGGTGCTACACTATCACCTACCCACCACTGGTGCTACACTATCACCTACCCACCACTGGTGCTACACTATCACCTACCCACCACTGATGCTACACTATCACCTACCCACCACTGGTGCTAAAACTATCACCTACCCCCCACTGGTGCTACACTATCACCTACCCACCACTGATGCTACACTATCACCTACCCACCACTGGTGCTACACTATCACCTACCCACCACTGATGCTACACTATCACCTTCCTACCACTGGTGCTACATTATTACCTACCCACCAGTGGTGCTACACTATCACCTACCCACCACTGGTGCTACACTATTACCTACCCACCACTGGTGCTACACTATCACCTTCCTACCACTGGTGCTACACTATCACCTAACCACCACTGGTGCTACACTATCACCTTCCTACCACTGGTGCTACATTATCACCTACCCACCACTGGTGCTACACTATCACCTACCCACCACTGGTGCTACACTATTACCTACCCACCACTGGTGCTACACTATCACCTTCCTACCACTGGTGCTACACTATCACCTACCCACCACTGGTGCTACACTATCACCTACCCACCACTGGTGCTACACTATCACCTACCCACCACTGGTGCTACACTATTACCTACCACCATTGATGCTACACTATCACCTTCCTACCACTGGTGCTACACTATCACCTTCTTACCGCTGGTGCTACACTACCACCTTCCTACCACTGGTGCTGCACTATTGCCTTCCTACCACTGGTGCTACACTATCACCTACCCACCACTGGTGCTACACTATCACCTACCCACCACTGGTGCTACACTATCATCTACCCACCACTGGTGCTACACTATCACCTACCCACTACTGGTGCTACACTATCACCTACCCACCACTGGTGCTACACTATCGCCTTCCTACCACTGGTGCTACAGTATCACCTACCCACTACTGGTGCTACACTATCACCTTCCTACCACTGGTGCTACACTATTACCTACCCACTTCTGGTGCTACATTATCACCTACCCACCACTGGTGCTACACTACCACCTTCCTACCACTGGTGCTACACTATCACCTACCCACCACCGGTGCTACACTATCACCTACCCACTACTGGTGCTACACTATCACCTTCCTACCACTGGTGCTACACTATCACCTTCCTACCACTGTTGCTACACTATCACCTACCCACCACTGATGCTACACTATCACCTTCCTACCACTGGTGCTACACTATCACCTACCCACCACTCATGCCACACTATCACCTTCCTACCACTGGTTCTACGCTAATACCTACCCACCCCTGATGCTACACTATCACCTACCCACCACTGGTGCTACACTATCACCTACCCACCACTGATGCTACACTATCACCTACCCACCACTGATGCTACACTATCACCTACCCACCACTGATGCTACACTATCACCTACCCACCACGGGTGCAAACACTATCACCTACCCACCTGATGCTACACTATCACCTACCCACCACTGGTACTACACTGTCACCTACCCACCACTGGTGTTACGCTATCACCTACCCACCACTGATGCTACACTATCACCTACCCACCACTGATGCTACACTATCACCTACCCACCACTGATGCTACACTATCACCTACCCACCACTGATGCTACACTATCACCTACCCACCACTGGTACTACACTGTCACCTACCCACCACTGGTGTTACGCTATCACCTACCCACCACTGATGCTCCCACTATCACCTACCCACCACTGATGCACACTATCACCTACCCACCACTGATGCTACACTATCACCTACCCACCAATGATGCTACACTATCACCTACCCACCACTGGTACTACACTGTCACCTACCCACCACTGGTGTTACGCTATCACCTTCCACACTGGAGGTTACACTTGCTTTCACTTACTTTCGTTTTCCCCACTGTCCTCTCTCTTGCTTTGGATAAATGGGCGTGTGTTCAAGATAATTCTTCCCACGCCTCCGAGGGCGCGGAGGTCCAGGAGCTTTTGCTCAGGCGGTGACGAGTAGGAGAGGGCGTGCCCGGGGCTGGCACACACTCTCAACTAGAGTAGACAGGCGGTAAACAAGTGATAGACAGCACAGGGAGAGAAAGAGAGAGAGAGAGGGAGGCTGTGTTGGAGTAAGCAGCTGGTACGTGGGTGTTCACTCTGTGCTGTTCCCTTCACGACTGTGGCTTTGTTGTGTCTCTTGCGCCTGCCTCTCTTACTCTCTCTGCCTCTCTCACTCTCTCTGTCTCTCTCACTCTGCCTCTCTCACTCTCTCTCTTTCTCTTTCTCTCTTTCGACAGCAAGCGTATAAACTGGCAACTGAAAATGAAGTGTATCTCAATCCATTCTGGACCTTCTCGGTCCGCCCTGGACTTTCTCCGTCCGTCCTTGGACCTTCTCAGTCTATCCTGGACCATTTCGATCCGTTCTGGACCTTCCCAGTCCGTCCTGGACCATCTCGGTCCGTCCTGGAGCATTTCAGTCCGTCATGGACCATCATCACGTCGTGAGTGACTAGAAAAACAATTTGAGTTCGAAAACTAGTGACGGGTAAGGCCAAGAGTCTACCTGCTATCTACCTGTAGTCCACATATAGTCTTCCTGTTGTCTACCTGTAGTCCACCTGAAGTTTACCTGTTCTCTACCTGAAGTCCACCTATAGTCTATCTGTTGTCTACCTGTAGTCCACCTGTTGTCTACTTGTAGGCTATTTGTTGTCTGTTGTCTACATGCTGGCTACGTATTATCTACCCGTAGTCGATCTATTGTCACCACAGCCTGGCTGTTGCTAACCTTATAAAATAGATGATTGTTAGCGTGTTAGTTTGCTGTTTGCGCCTTTGTTGGCGTGTTGTTAGTGTTAGCGCCTTGGTTAAATGTGTTAGTGTGACTACCTTGTTAATGTGTCGTTATTTTTAGTGTTACTGTGTTCTATATGTCACACAGGAAGCGGCCTATATCACTCGAAGTGTGGTGCATTGTGGTCGCAACTGAAAGACCCGGGTTTAATGCCGGGGTTGGGGGGGTCTAGACGAATACGTTTCCTTACACCTGTTGCCTCCCGTACACCCTAGCAGTAAATAGGTGGCCGGGAGTTAGTTGAGTGGGACGAGCGGCATCCTGGGGAGGAAGAGTGGAAGTATGTCTGAGATTGGCCTGATTTTTTTTTAATGAGGTGAGGCAGGATAACATGTCTTAGACTTTAAGTCCGACGGCGTAAGAGAAAAATATCTTTAGTTTTTATAGATCTGGAAGCCTCTTGAAAGCGTGTGTGTGTGTGTGTGTGTGTGTGTGTACTCACCTAATTGTACTCACCTAATTGTGGTTGCAGGGGTCGATACTCAGCTCCTGGCCCCGCCTCTTCACTGATCGCTACTAGATCCTCTCTCTCTCTCTGCTTCCTGAGCTGTATCATAACCCCTTCTTAAAACTATGCATGGTTCCTGCCTCCACTACTTCACTTGCTAGGCTATTCCACTTGCTGACAACTCTATGACTGAAGAAATACTTCCTAACGTCCCTGTGACTCGTCTGAGTCTTCAGCTTCCAGTTGTGACCCCTTGTCCCTGTGTCCCTTCTCTGGAACATCCTATCTCTGTCCACCTTGTCTATTCCCCGCAGTATCTTGTATGTCGTCATCATGTCTCCCCTGACCCTTCTATCCTCCAGCATCGTCAGTCCGATCTCCCTCAACCTTTCCTCGTACGACATTCCCCTGAGCTCTGGGACTAGCCTTGTTGCAAACCTTTGTACTTTCTCTAACTTCTTGACGTGCTTGACCAGGTGTGGGTTCCAGACTTGTGCTGCATACTCCAGTATGGGCCTAACATACACAGTGTACAGCGTCTTGAACGATTCCTTATTAAGGTATCGGAACGCTATTCTCAGGTTTGCCAGGCGCCCGTATGCTGCAGCAGTTATTTGGTTGATGTGTGCCTCCGGTGATGTGCTCGGTGTTATGGTCACCTCAAGGTCTTTCTCCCTGAGTGAGGTCTGTAGTCTTTGTCCACCTACCCTATACTCTGTCTGCGGTCTTCTTTGCCCCTCCCCAATCTTCATGACTTTGCATTTGGCTGGATTGAATTCGAGAAGCCAGTTGCTGGACCACATGTCAAGCCTGTCCAGGTCTCTTCGCAGTCCTGCCTCATCCTCATCCGATTTAATTTTTCTCATCAACTTCACATCATCTGCGAACAGGGACACTTCAGAGTCTATTCCTTCCATCATGTCGTTCACATATATCAAAAATAGCACTGGTCCTAGAACTGACCCCTGTGGGACCCCGCTCGTCACAGGCGCCCACTGTGATACCTCTTCACGTACCATGACTCGTTGCTGCCTCCCTGTCAGGTATTCCCTGATCCATTGCAGTGCCCTCCCTGTTACATGCGCCTGATCCTCCAGCTTCTGTGTGTGTGTGTGTGTGTGTGTGTGTGTGTGTGTGTGTGTGTGGTCTGTATGTGTTGTGTGTGTTGTATGTATTGTGTGTTGCGTGAATGCCTCAGTGTTGCTGTACGCCTGGCTGAGTGTTCCGGTACGGAGCGGCTACTAGCGTGAGGGGGGCGATATATTAGAAGAATGTAAGGGCAGTTGTGTGTGAGAGGAAATAAGCAAGAAGGATGAGGTAAATGCTTTAGAAAACCAACAGAGTGAAGAATGAGACACATGTGCAATACTTGGGAATCTTTATTGAGGAAACGTTTCGCCACACAGTGGCTTCGTCGGACTCGATACAAAAAAAGAACGGTGGAAAAAGGGGAGTTTGAGGTAATCAGTCCCTCAGCCAGGCTGAGGGACTGATTACCTCACAAGTGCACAAGTGTCTCATTCTTCAAGAAGGATAAGAGTGAGGAGGTGGGGAGCAGTGGAGTGGGAATATGTGGGAGTATGCGCTGGGAGGGGGACAGAAGGAAGGGGTGTGGGAGGTAAGAGAGCGATCAATACTCCTCTTAGAACTAAGTGTTGTTCACCACATCAGCGTGATTTGCGCCTCACATGAAAGGTTAACCTCCTTTCACACATTTTCTTTCCCACACGTGGTGAGGAACGGAGGTTCGGGCCCACAGACAGCTCAACATCAGAATCTAAGTTACGGTAATGATACCGTGTCTGCTGCAAGTAAAAATTCTCCCCTTATCCCAAGGGTATTTATATGTATATATATATACATATATATATATACATTCCATATATATATATATATATATATATATATATATATATATATATATATATATATATATATATATATATATATATATATATATATATATATATATATATATATATATATATATATATATTTTATATTATAAACACTGATCTCTGGCTGAAGGAGACTCGAACCTACGAACCTTAGGACAAGGTATGCAGCGCTTTACCAATCTACCCACACTGGACAATACCTTGGCGTGTAGCATGCGCTACACGTTTGATCCAAGGCAGCCAGCTTTCAGGGAGAAGGCTTACAGATGAAAAGCTGTAAGCCTTCTCCCTGAAAGCTGGCTGCCTTGGGTCAAACGTGTAGTGCATGCTAGACGCCAAGGTATTGTCCAGTGTGGGTAGATTGGTAAAGCACTGCGTACCTTGTCCTAAGGTTCGTAGGTTCGAGTCTCCTTCAGCCAGAGATCAGTGTTTATATATATATATATATATATATGTTGTGCCGAATAGGCAGAACTTGCGATCTTGTCTTAAATAGCAACGCTCATCTTGCCATATAGGACAAGTGAAAATTTGTGTATGCAATAATTTCGCCAAAATCATTCTGAACCTAACGAAAAAAAATATTTCATTGTGTTTGTTTAGTATTAAATTATTGTAAACAAATCTAAAATATATTTAATTGGGTTAGGCTAAAATAAATTGTTCTTATTATAATAAGGTTAGGTAAGTTTTCTAAGATTCTTTTGGAGCAAAATTAAAATTTTTTTACACTAACATTAATGAAAAAAAATGTATCTTTAAACGTATAAGAGAAAATTTTAGAAAGGGCTTAATTTTGAATGAGTTCTTGCTAATTGACCAGTTTTACATATTCGGCACGATATACACACACACACACATATATATATATATATATATATATATATATATATATATATATATATATATATATATATATATATATATATATATATATATATATATATATATATATATATATATATATATATATTAACACACTGGCCGATTCCCACCAAGGCAGGGTGGCCCGAAAAAGAAAAACTTTCACCATCATTCACTCCATCACTGTCTTGCCAAAAGGGTGCTTTACACTACAGTTTTTAAACTGCAACATTAACACCCCTCCTTCAGAGTGCAGGCACTGTACTTCCCATCTCCAGGACTCAAGTCCAGCCTGCCGGTTTCCCTGAACCCCTTCATAAATGTTACTTTGCTCACACTCCAACAGCACGTCAAGTATTAAAAACCATTTGTCTCCATTCACTCCTATCAAACACGCTCACGCATGCCTGCTGGAAGTCCTAGCCCCTCGCACACAAAACCTCCTTTACCCCCTCCCTCCAACCTTTCTTAGGCCGACCCCTACCCCGCCTTCCTTCCACTACAGACTGATACACTCTTGAAGTCATTCTGTTTCGCTCCATTCTCTCTACATGTCCGAACCACCTCAACAACCCTTCCTCAGCCCTCTGGACAACAGTTTTGGTAATCCCGCACCTCCTCCTAACTTCCAAACTATGAATTCTCTGCATTATATTCACACCAGACATGACATCTCCACTGCCTCCAGCCTTCTCCTCGCTGCAACATTCATCACCCATGCTTCACACCCATATAAGAGCGTTGGTAAAACTATACTCTCATATATTCCCCTTTTTGCCTCCAAGGACAAAGTTCTTTGTCTCCACAGACTCCTAAGTGCACCGCTCACCCTTTTTTTCTCTCATTAATTCTATGATTCACCTCATCTTTCATAGACCATCGTGACACTCCACTCCCAAATATCTGAATACATTCACCTCCTCCATACTCTCTCCATCCAATCAGATATCCAATCTTTCATCACCTAATCTTTTTGTTATCCTCATAACCTTACTCTTTCCTGAATTCACTTTTAATTTTCTTCTTTTGCACACCCTACCAAATTCATCCACCAACCTCTTCAACTTCTCTTCAGAATCTCCCAAGAGCACAGTGTCA